CGCCTGCGCTGTCGAGCCCTACGTCCCAGCGGGCCGGCGGCGGCGGCGGCAGATGCCAGTCGCCCAGGGCGGGCGCCTCGCCGCGCCCCCGCCGCCGCGCCGAGCCCCCACGTCGCGCGGACTGGCTGCAGCAGTGCTACTGGGCGCACCGCCGCGAGACAATCATGATGACGCGCAACCCGGCCGAGGTTGCGGGGCGCATCCTGACCAACTGCTGGGTGGCGGCCACCATGGGGCTGCTGTACTACGACATCCCCAAGGACAGCTCCGCTCTTAAGGGCAAGATCAACATGCTGCTCAACGTCCTGGCCTTCTTCTGCCTCATGCCCTACGTCAGCATGAGCCTCTACACCGCCAGCAAGCAGTCGTACCTCGCTGACGTCAGCGCCAAGCTCTACTCCCCCTCCGCGTACTACCTGGCAAAGGTGGGTCGGACCGGGGCCGGGGCCCTGCTGGCCTGAGAAGTGGATTGCCAGCCATGCACGTACGCACATGTGGTAGCGCTCAGTGTCCTGCAGGGGCAGCAAGGCTGCAGATCACTACTAAACCAAAAGCTGCAGCACGAGCCACATACGCAAGCACAGCAAGTATACCAGAGGAGGCCGCAGCTCGAATGCCAACCGCCCGTGTCCATCGGCAACCGTGCCATTCGCCCCCGGCAGGTGTCTGCCACGCTCCCGTTCCAGCTGGTGAGCTCCATGTCCTTCACCTTCATCGTCTACGGCATGGCGGGGCTGCGCAACACCGTGGCGTGCATCTTCTCCCACGGCCTGATGACGACGCTGCTCAGCCTCATCGCGGTGCAGGCGCGTGCAAAGGAGGGGGCCAGCGGTGCCTTGTGACGGGACACGTGGTGTGTTACCTGTGCTCTGCCCTACAGGGTGCATGCGCCCTTGAAGAGGGAATGTATGGTATCCAGGGATCAGGGGTCGATTGATCACTCCTGCATGTCTGTTCACCCGCATCTCAAGCCCCGCCATGCACGCTCCCTTTCTGTCAAAGCCAGCCATTGACGTCAAACTTGAATTTCCTGCACCCCTCCCCCCACCCAAACAAAACTGTGTAAGCAGGTGATGCACCTGTGCGCGGTTGTCGCGCCCACCCAGGACGTGGCCTTCATGTACAGCATCGCCTGGACCGCGGTGCAGCTGCTCTTCAACAACTTCTTCATCACCTTCAGGGAGGTCACCCTCGGCTGGCTGACAAATCTGCGCTTTGTCAGCGCCGTGTACTTTGCCTACGAGGGCATCGCAACCGTCGAGTTCGCCGGTGTGCGCATGGCGTGCTCTGCGGGCGTCGACGCAAACGGCATCGCTTTCCTGAAGGAGCTGCTCCCCAACTCGAGGCTGCTGGACATGCACGCGGTGCAGGCCGCGCTCGCCGCGCCGGGGCCGGACTGCGTGACCGAGGCGGGCGCGGTGCTGGACTTTTTCACGTTCAATCGCGGCTTCAGCGCGACCCTGGCGATCCTGGTCGGTTACTGGCTGGTGACCCACGTGCTGACGTACCTCGCACTGCTGCTGGTCGCGCGCAAGGAGCGGAGGTGATCCCAACTCATTAGATGATCCAATGACTGGGTGCCCGCAGGCACTGATTGGGCCACGCCTCTTGTCCAAGACTTTCATGTGTTCTTGAGAGCGCTTATCTGGGGGTTTGCTCCTAATTTTGTTGGTGGGACCAGATGAATGCATACAATCCTCCAGGGTTGCCTGGGACAAAGACCACATGCCGTTCTTGGCGTCCTGCTTTCTGTGCCCCAACAACCCGATATGAAGCTTCATTGACAACAACCAGGCTCTTCTGAGTGATAGATTGCAGAGCTGGGTGAAAGGACCAACAGCCGCCCCGTGGCGGCCAGGGGACTTTTGTGTGCCTCCCTGTGCCCGACAGAGTACTTTAGCAACCCTTGCGTGCAAGATGGTGTGTGTTTTGACCTTTCCAAATAAGAACTGATCTGGCTCTGCTCACACTGCTCGCTGCATGATGCCAGCCGATTGTTTCCTTGCCAGAAAACCCTGGCAGCGGCGGCTGGAACCAAGGCACGCAGCTGGACCGAATGGTGCTCCGTGCATACCCCTGCATTGCCCTTGAACTGACTGGCCAATTGGTGCACATGTAATACGAGGTGATCCAGGGGTTGTGTTGCTGTGTGGTTGATCGCGTTGCCAGCACAATGCAGGCCGTCCCAGGTGACATCATCACCTGAAAACTATGCTGACACCACACACAGGAGAATGTATCAAGAGGAGTGGCCGTGACCGGCGCAATCGATTTCAATCATAACTGAAACAAGACATCAGAGCAAGTTGAGCAGCAAACAGATCAGAGTGGATGTGAAAGGCGAGCAACGGAAGAACAGCGCATCAGCCATGCGCAGCATTTGATTCAGGCGCACGTAGGGCGTGAGCGCCATGCAAGCCGGGCACCACTTCGCTTGTAAGCTGCCTCAGCGCGTGGCCCGCTGCGCCTGCAACCACCTTTGCCGCCTCGGTGGCCGCAGCCGCGAGCGCTGCGACAGGCGCTGCAGCCGCGACCGCAACTGGGGCGTGCGCGTCTGTGGCTGGCAGCGCGCGGCCCTGCAGGCCTTGCTGCACCACCATGGCAGCAAGCAGGCCCAAGAAGCAGCTGACCTGGGGTTGCGGCAATGGGAGGCAAACCAGGTGGAGATATTGACTCTGTGCTGTGCTTTGCCACGCCGCGACGACCTCACTCCAGCGGAATGTCATCCAAACCCATGGCTCTACACTTTGCTGTGGCTCACATGCCTGCCCCGCGTTGTGATCCTTCTGGATGACAGCTCAGCATATCTCCTACCCTGACAGAAAGCGTCCCCTCGTGGAC